AAGTAAAAAGTCTTAATGATAATGGGGCGGGGCAGGGATGGTGGGTGGTGGTAAAGTTTTATAAAATTTTAAAAATACCCCATTAAAATATTAAATCTTAAAAATATCCTGAAATATATTTTCAAAAACACTCTCAAAAACATCATTAGGAACCCAAGTAATAATCAGAAAAAGATGCAATGTAACGGGATCTTTAGATATAGCACCATCTAAATTTATTTTAAATTCACTTTCCCTTCCCATAGGGGAAATCAGGCTATTATCGATATTTGAGAATTGTCACAAATCCTGAATCTAATAGCGAGAAGGACTTTAGGAAAACTTCTTTGGGCGCTAGGCCTACCCTAGTAGTATTAATCGCTTTTAATCAGTTTTCCTTTCATACAATTTTTCGGTGCTTTACATTAATCAGGATCTTTGTCTATAGTCTGCCTTCTTGTTGGTGCTGCGGTGCATTTTTAATGCCACTAGAAAGCTTTTATTTGGTGAATTTAGGTTTAGGGTCCATTGGTAAATCTTGCTATGACTTATGGATTCGAATGTGGTATTTTAGCAGGTCTTCTGCGGTATTAATGCATAGGGACACTCCAAGAGAAGATGTTTCGATTATTGCCCTAATTAACTGAGTTTTGGTTGGGTAAACTCTTGACATTTTCATGATTAATGGGTTTAATTGTAATTAGTATTCTGCACAAAGCCTAAGGGCAAAATGCTCCAATGCCTCTCAAACTATTATAAAATTTAACTTTTGACCCTTTATAATGCTGTTTTGATGATGGTTTGGTAGGCACTGGTGGATTCTAGCAACGACAAAGGCAACACCTACATTTCTGTTCTTCTTTTTTCCTATTGTCTTTTTTTTTTTTTTCACTTTTTTCTAGTCTTTCTTTTATTGATTTTCCCTTTTTGAATTTGGATGGAATTTAAGAGGTTAAGTTGAGATCGGAGGATTTTTGGAGGTTGCTTTTAGACAAATGTTGAAAAGATGAAGATAGACCATGGATTTTTGTGACTAAAGTTTAAGGGAAATGCAAAATGGGAAGTTGAGGTTTCTGGTTCGGGTGATTAAGGCTTTTGATGATGAAGTTATATGATGATGATTCTTAATGGTAAGGGAAATATAAGATGGTCGGACTTATGGTAAAGAATCAGTGATCTTCTTGGTCTTGGTGCTTGAATGATGATTAATGGTGAAACTTGAATAAATCTCTCTAGTGTAGACAAACAGGCCCATCGTTTGTCATATGTGGTACTATTTCCGTTAGACATGACGATTTAAATTGACAGAAAAATTACAAGTGTACATTTTAATTAGTTCGAGAGTTAAAATTACTTAGCTAATATTTTAAGGATCAAAAGACAAATTTTATAATAGTTTGAGGGCCATTAGAGTATTTGATCCAAACCTTAATGACTGTGTAGCATAGAGGAATAGGTAGTTGATGTGGTAGCTATTGAAGTCTTATTGTATCACATTGCCCTCGAATAGGACATACGATACTTGCAAATTAGTCATTTATCCAGGCGAAGTGCGAAGAACCCAAAATTTCGCACCCAAAATTATAATGATTAGAATCGTTCTTTAAACTCATAGAAAAGTTCAAAACTTCGTCACCCCATTTGACAACCTTTTCCGCATAGGTCAATATGGGAATAAACAACTTCATCACGCTTCTTAGCTCTTACGGAGTTGTAGACAGACAGATAGATTAGAAATATACATATAAATTATCACGGAATGGTTATTTTATTGTGGGCACACAGGACAACAAGTAGGTCCAGTGGTTAGTAATGGATGAAAGTTTAAATTTAGGGTAAATTACGTATAATCTTCTGTAGTTTCATCTATTGTCATATAGCTTCCGAACATATTAAAAGCTTAATTTATCCCCTTATGATTTTATGTAAAGTGGAGATTTGACGGAAAATAACTTATGTGATGTCATTAGTTGAAATACCAATAGTATCCTTACTTAAATACTAAATCAATCGACGGCTTAACCACTTTGTATAAAAGTAAAGGGAGATTATGTGGATAAATGCAAAAATCATAGGGAAATAAAGTAGATATTTATACAAATTATAGAGGAATTATATGGATATTAAAATTTTATCACATGCGCTTTTAAAGTACGTTTGGTATAAACGCCATAATTGATTGTGCATTCCGTCCATTTTGCACTTTACATAAAATTACAGAGGGATTGGATGACTATTTTAAAATCTTATGGGAGGTCATCTGACATTGTGTAAAATTACAAGAAGGTCACAAGTAATTTGCCCTTAAATTTATCTTACTAAAGTCTCTGCATTCTCGAGCAGATGATAATGTTTGAAATTTATAATCAACCTACTCCTATGTTTAAAATAAAAAAAAAAATGAAAGAAGATAAAGAGATTAGAGATAGATAATAATTTTAAAAACCTTCCCCAAACTTTTTGACAATTTCACTTGCCTTCCTTCAACTTTTGAAAATCTTACGTTCTTTCCTAATATAAGATTGAGACCATATAAGGTGTGGCGAAATGACTATCATATCCTTAGTATTTTGTGATATTAACTATACATGTCCTAAAAAATTGCTATTGGACTATATGTAAAGAAAAAAGGATAGAAAATTGGCCAATTGTCTTCAATAAATTGGCGCGAATCTCTCCTCCAAATTCAAATGGCATACTTTTCTAATGGTAGTTACGTACTATTAAAAAAAGTGTCCTATATCATTTACTTTTCTAAGGTTTTTTTTGGGGGTTATATTTAGTTGAGCTACATTGCAAATTTAGCTATTGGCTAGTCTGATCATCTAAATTTTGCTTTTTGTTTGCCAAGTTTTAATTCATTTAATAGTTTCTCAAAACAAATAGTTGCAACAATTAGTAAGGGCATTTTTGCCACCAAATTACATTCTCTCTCCAACAATTATTTTTCTATTGAACCTTTCATTGATTTGGGCTTATATGTTCCATACAAGTTCCAAATGAGGGAGCCAAGTGAGATTTTCATAAATTGCAAGTAGCTTGGTGAAATTGTCAAAAATCTCAAGTGAGGTTACCGCTAGATATATATATACACATCTTTCGAGATTCTTTACACATCTCATTCGAGGTCAAGGCTTGCCAAACAGTCTTAATCACCAACAACGTTCATATTCTTCCCAGAGTCAATTCGTTTGAGGGGAATATATCTAATAGAATATATCTGCAACATTTCTTGCTTGCTTGATGCCTTGGGCCAAATTCAGCGGCAGACATTTCTCCTTTGCCAACGACCTCCCATCAATGCAAGGGGCGCATTATTAAGTTAACGACACCTGTTCTTTCACATGTCTTGCAGGCCTGCATCATACACAAATACACCTCTCTTCAACCCAATCAAATCCTGACTGATTCTTGACATATTTTTAGCACCATTTCAATAACAAGAACTACCTAATAACCCACAGCCACTAAACTACCAAAGAGTTAGGCTATGGAAAACCCTTCTGAAAACACTAATCAAATCAGAAATCAAGGTCATAGGAGCAGTATTGTAGAAAAAGTGAAGAACAACTTAATTTTCAGATCAAAGTGGGCTGAGTTAAATGGTGCAATGGGGGATTTGGGCACTTATATTCCTATAATATTGGCTTTGACACTAGCCAAGGACCTGAATCTTGGTACCACGCTGATATTCACCGGTGTATACAACTTTGTCACAGGTGCAATCTATGGTGTCCCCATGCCAGTGCAGCCGATGAAGTCAATTGCAGCAGTGGCCATATCTGATGCAGATTTTAATATTCCAGAAGTTATGGCATCAGGAATTTGCACTGCAGGGATTTTGGCTGTTCTTGGTGTAACAGGTTTGATGCAACTTGTGTATAAGCTTATTCCAATTTCAATTGTCAGAGGAATTCAGCTAGCACAAGGCCTGTCATTTGCTATGACTGCAGTGAAGTACATAAGAAAAGTACAAAACTTTTCTAAGTCAAAGTCTGGTTCAGACAGGCATTGGTTAGGCTTAGATGGATTGCTCTTGGCTATTATTTGTGCTTGTTTCATTATAGGTGTTAACGGTGCTGGCGATGACAATGAGTATGCAGCAGAAACTGAGAGTGGTGCCAATGATGCCAGTGGATCAGGAAACAACAGAAGAAAAAGGTTGCGAAAAATCATAACTTCTCTGCCTTCTGCTTTCATCATCTTTTTGTTAGGTGTGGTTTTGGCAATTATTAGAGGGCCTAAAGCAGTCAAAGGATTTAAATTTGGACCATCTCCTATTGAAGTTGTGAAAATGTCTAAGCATGCATGGAAGGAAGGATTCATTAAGGGCACAATTCCTCAACTTCCACTATCAATTCTAAATTCAGTGATTGCTGTCTGTAAGTTGTCGACTGATCTTTTTCCAGAGAAGGACATTTCAGCCACGTCTGTTTCAATTACTGTTGGAATGATGAACTTAATAGGATGTTGGTTTGGAGCCATGCCATGCTGCCACGGTGCAGGAGGGCTAGCTGGACAGTATAAATTTGGTGGGAGGAGTGGTGGATGTGTGGCCCTCCTTGGTTTAGCCAAGTTGGTTTTGGGTTTAGTTTTAGGTAGCTCTCTAGTGAAGATTTTGGACCAATTTCCTGTTGGAGTATTGGGGGTTCTGTTATTGTTTGCTGGGATTGAACTTGCTATTTGCTCAAGGGATATGAACTCAAAGGAAGATTCATTTGTCATGCTGACTTGCACTGCTGTTTCACTGGTAGGCTCTAGTGCAGCACTAGGTTTCCTGAGTGGAATTGTTGTTTATTTGCTCCTCAGGCTAAGAAAACTGTATGGTGGTCAGTCTTCTTCTGCAATTTGCTTTCATGGTAACCCATAATTGAGGTCTCAATGCAAAATCCTGGAAAGCTGTTCAAGCTTCGCCTTAGTGAACTGATTAAAAGATCTGTGATCTTAATGCACACCTTTTTTTGGTAATGTTTAACATTTCCGCCTTGCTTGATGCGCTATGTGAATCATAACAAGAATAATAAAAGGAAAATATACTTTCTTCTTGATCGGGAATGGGGAAGAACAAAAGGAGGGACAAATTTGAAAGGATGGAGTTCATTCCTTTCTCGGTGAATGAAAAGATAAAGAAGAACCATTAAATTATTGTTTATTACATAAAGCAGTATGATCAAACTCCCTATGTTGGATGCACCACAGAATTGCAAGACAGTTCTAAGTTTTGCAGGCGTCTCCACAGCCACCAAAGCATTTCTCCCTTGCAGAAGCTGCCCATGAAGACAAACAAACAGAAAGAAACGTGTTAGAAAGCAAAGAAAGATTGCCTTGAATTCAGCCAAAATATTGCAAGTAAGCCTTAAATGATTTTCCTAAAAGTTTGACGGAAAAACTCTCAGGCAGACACAAATACACCCACACACGCACACACACAGAGCAGAGAGTGCTTAATTTGATAGTACCATCTTTTATTTGGAGGCAACGTTGTGCTGAACAACCAACATGGCAATAGTAAAGCTGGCTTTCCAGAGCAGACTGAGGAAAGCAGCTGGCCAGGCAATTCAAATAACACGGATACCTCTCTGCTATTGGGCTGCCACTAAGCAGAAAGCACACATTGTAACATCCTCCCCAACAAGCATATGTGCTTTGTCCTGTGGCATTTTGAGCTAGCATCATTGACACATAAACTGTGATCATCAATCCCCAAACCCTGATGCTCCTCCCCATTTCAGAGTTCAGACCCCTTTTTCCCTCTCCTTGGAAACAGTGCAATAAACACCTTGCAAACTTGCTTGATATGTTCTGACATGTTACGGGGAAAAAGGACTATCTATAGGTCAAATGGCCAACTAACTTGGCGCTTTTCAGTCCAATGTATTTAATGTATGGTTCGTGCAGATAACTTTTCTTTCCTAAGAATTACTAGTACTTTCCACCTCTGATCAGCACCAGAGGATTTATCACTTGCTGATCCATAAAAAACAAAAGAGTTAGTTGTAATTACTAAATGCTAAACATGATTTCCTGTTTAAGTATCAATCAGACGTACGTTACAAAGACTTTTCTTCATCAGGTAGGTAGGTATAGTTCAATTGTCTACGCAATCAGTAATAACATATGTCCACCAATCACTGCTTCCTTTCACAATTTTTCCTAGTAGGAAATAGTAGTATTTAAGAGCTAAGAAGACATGCATCTACAGCAAAATTTTTTATAAACAGCCCAATCTAAAGGGAGCTAAGAATATCAGTTGTTTTTCAATTGATGTTCCAAAGATGTGCTGTGCTTCTAAGCCAAAAGTAGCGTCCATTGCTAAATGTGAACTGTAAAAAATTGAAACAAAAAAAAAAAACAAGAAGAAGAAGAATTGTGAGGAAACATGATTGCATCCCCACCATTAAGCCATCAATCATTGCACCAAAATTTCTCAACTCCAAATAAAGTTCATATCAGTGAAACAGTAACTGTCCTTTATGGCAGTACTAGTTTTTCCTGAGCCATCCCTGCATTAAATTTTTGCCGACATTGGTGCCTGCATGAAAATGTACCGTCTATTGGCGTCACCTGTCACCCTGATTGCTTAGGAAGGTAACTAATGAGATGCATACCTGTTTTCAGAGGTTAGATTTTAGCAAACTCTCCAGTTGTCAGAATTTTTAACCGTCACTATTGATTGACAGTGAACAAATTTGTCATCATCCTTTTTCCGTTTTCTTGTTAGCACAAGGAATATTGACTATAGCTCCCTATCATCTTCCAACTATGCCATTTTCTTCTCTCTTTATTAATTTCCGAGTTGATAAGGTTGTGCTTAAATTTGTAAGAAAGCAAATTTCAGGGTATAGAAATAGACAATAAAAAAAAAACAATTGATTTGATGAAAACATGTTGCCAATATCCCTTTGTAACTGATGAAATGCAATATTTAAGGCAATTATACACAACATAAGAGACAAATGAAGTAAAATCAAGCAGTTTGACACTTCAGTTCACTGGGTTGAAAACACAGAAAACAACAAGTAAAGGATCCATTGAAAAGGTCGAGAACTTGATATGCTCAAAAGCATTCAAGGGAGTATGAGTAGGAAAGCAATACCCAAAATTAGTTTGACTTTTCAGAGGCTGAATACAGTTAGTTTGTCGGATTTAAAGTCATATCAATGCGCCAATGTCCACATTATTGGATACAAGTTGGACGTGATTCAACCCTTTATTTTCAACACATTACACATTTTAACTTTGACATTTTTGTCTTGGAAAGAAAACAGTTTAGTATGATGTAGTACCAACACTCAAGCTCATATGTCATAACATTATAAATGCCCCAAATTTGGTTGGTTATGGATGCATAAACCACAAACAATTTTCTTAGTTTCCTGATTGCTAACCATGCTAAAATGCCTTATTACGCCCCTTTCAAACCTACTGATCAGTCCAACTTCATTGGCTGATTTTTGTGGGCACAGCATCAGTAATGAGGGTTGGACAAACGTAGCAGCGATATTTAATTTGTTATCACACCTTGTTTCTTAGATTAGGTGGATCAGGTTTAGACTTCTGCAGATGTGACCCAATGCGCTAAAAGTGTGTCATTGCGCATTAGTCCAAACAAATATTTTTTGCTTCCAGTTTTTGCTAAAAGTGTCAATTTGTGAAGTGTACATAACTTGATTGTTTTGGTGAAAGAATGAATTGGTTAGACCAATGTTTCATTGGGACTCTTTTCCTGACATCTATATCTGCAGAGAAGGTGAAAAAATATGTACGCAAAGGCATACTGAGACAACTAAAGGCAGCAGCTCAAGCGACCAGAAAACTCAAGACATTGGGATAAGGATGGTAATGGTACCATTATGCCAGATTACAAAAATCAGTGTATTAAAAGAATTTCTTTGTAGACAATAAACTGAACAAGTGAATAAATACAATTTAACTGAGAATTCACATAAAATAGACATTACCCTCTACCTTTCTTTTCTTTTTCTATAATCTCAAAAAAAAAAAAAAATTTTCTTTGAATTTTGCAAGTATGGTGGTCTACTTCAAGTTTCAAGTTTCAAAAAAAAAATTCCCAGCTACAGATGTCACTACTTCAAGTTTCTGACTTCTAAATTGTATACACAGCACATGAGAGCATGTACTACACAGATTTCTAGTAACACTTTGAGAGTATTCCTTTGTATATGCATCCCCATAAAGGTATAAGGACATTCACAACGCAAAGAAGGCTCACTTAAATCTAGCTCATTCCAGCAGCGAGCAACCAAAATTCTTCAGATGTGATGGGGTCAGAAATCAGAAAAGAAGAACCATATTGTGCTATATTCAACTATGCGTACTTGGCTGCAGCTATCCAAATGGATTTCCTCCTGTCAACGAGTAGGATTGTGGTGCAGCTGATGAGGGATTTACGCCATTTGATTGTTGAATGGGGTTAAGAGAAGAAAAGGCAGTATCATCGTTCATCCCACTAGACTGTTTAATAGGGTTAAGAGAGGCAAAGGCAGCATCATTGCCACCAAAGGTATTAGCTCCTTGCGGTCTGCATATATCAGAGTAAGATGTTACTTTAGTCCTTAATTCAATATTTTCCATTGGATCAATTGACTACAGAGTAGTTCGCATTCAAGCAATCATAGAGCCTAAGGGCTGTCTCTATTTGTCTTTACCTCGTTCAACCAGGTAGAGATATCCATAATATGATGTTCTAAGAAGCGAAAGCAAAGACTTTACCTGGAAGGAAGTATATTATTTGCTATCTGTTGCCCCATGTATACTCCTGAAAGTGTTGCCATAGGTCAAGATGACAATATGTTACAAATAACACACAAACAAACAGATTTTCTAAGAGAGATATGTGAATCCTTTCATTTAACCTGGAGGCCTCATAATTCCATAAGGAGGTCTCTGTGGTTGCGTTGCCGATGAATATGGCACTACTTGAGGCTGTAACCCTTGCGAAGTTGACATATTTGGCATCGGTCCTTGCAAAGGTGACATGGAAGGAAGCTAAACAAAGAGAAATGATACTTCATGGTTAGTAAATTCAAAAAATACCTGATCTAGAAACCAGAAATGAAACACAACCATGCAAACGTAAGCAAGAATATACCGAGGAAGATAAAAACAACTACAAGTGTCTTTCTGTGAGTTTTTCCACAACTCAGGTTCATCCGAACTCACATCAACTAAATTTGCAGGCACGCATGATACAGGTCTGTCAAGCCAGTAAATGTTAATCACCATATTCCATTTTGGAGTGACAATTTAGAACGAAGTTGTGATAAGAGGTAGCTAGGAAGAGTATCATACTTAATTATAAAAGGATTTGACCTATTCTACTGGCAGTTGCCAGTTGCAATACCAATTTTCTCATTTTCATTAAACCTCAAAAAAATAACAAACTGCCCTAATCTACTCCTTTGTTAAAGTTGTAAGTTAAACTTTACTTCATTTATAACTTGTGCTAAATTAACTTCTAGAATGGCACACGTGTAGAGTGTGCATGAATGGCTAGTACATATTGAAACAAAAATTTATCTTCCTGAGAAAATTATAGACAATAATTTTAATTATATGCTAAAATGCCTGTTGGTCCTTTTCTGGCCTTGGGAAGGGAATGAGGTTGGTGGGGTTTTTTTTGTTGGGGGGGGGGGGTGGTGGAAGGGGAAGAAAATAAATGAGATGATCTGTGCCTACCATGGTGCCTTGAGGTAAGGGACCATCATCACCAATATCAAATGGGTTCCTTGATTTAACCGAATCTTGGTGAGCTCCCATGGACTGTACCCACACAGAGAGAGAGAGAGAGAGAGAGAGAACAAAAAAATTGAGTTAATTAAAAGAACTGGTAATTTGTTTTAGTTGCTGTTATCTTAAATTTTTAGAGGGTGTTATGCTACCATTGCAGTAACATGGTACTGAGTGCCATATCCCATTCCATAAGGGGAAGTGGATTGCCAGCCTGGAACAGCAGCAGCAAATGATGAATAGCTTGATGTAAAAAGGTCCTGCATGGTACAGTCTATAATTAGATGAAATTAGTGAGAATTGCATAAAAAATCAAAATGTTCCACTATGCTCATACCGCTGGAAGTTCTTTTCTTCCACTGAGTAATTCATTTCCCAAACTAGTATCATTAGCTGCCTGTGGGACAACTTGTGTTGCTTGTCCAAATGATGTATTGGTTGGTGGCACTTTAGCATGCTCAGGTTCTGAAGTCAAGGACTGTAGGCCAGCATAGAGTAGAATCAGCTACTGCTCCTTGGTTGGACAAATTAAAGCAAGACACAGGAGAATACAAAATTTTGCAGTTCAACTGTTGCATCTGAGTACCTAAACCAGACTTGAACGAATGATCTCCTAAGGACAGCTTGAGGCCAAATCAACTTCTTACCTCATTGTTTGCAGCTTCATGAGAAGCAGTAGCCTTCTGAGCAGTAAAGTTACTATTTACTGGAGGGGCTCCAAATGGCTCACTTTGCTGCAAAGCTGGCAGCGTTTGGGCATCAGCAAGCTTATCCTTAGAGTCACTGCTATTACCAGGGCATGGTGCAGCATTTTCAATGTGTGAAGCAGTAGTAATTGCAACATTGTTCGAAACTGTACCCACATCAGGATTAGATGAACCTACAATAGCAGCTGGATTGTCACCACCAGGAGACATTTCAGGCATGCTACCTGCAGGATCCGCCAGTCCAAACAATAGCAGTTCAAGTGAATTAGCATTTGGAGCATTAGAGGCCTTCTCATTTGCAGAAGACATGGCAGCACTCTTGCTACCATCACCAACAGGAACTGTTTGTTGAGTCTGCACTACTGCTGTTGTTGCAGAAGGCTCAAGGTTAGCATCAAAATCTATCAAGCTGTTAAGAGTATTCACTTTCTTGTTTTCCTCTTCCTTTTTATCAACAGAGCCTGGAATTGTGTAGCTTCCTGCTGTCTGTTATGGGAATATTGAAAGATTAAAAGTCGAGCATGTGTAGAGAAGGTGTTCAAGGATCCCAAAAGCAAGAAGTTGTTCAAGAATCATCACTTTAGTCATACCTTAAGCCACATTAAAAGTCATTGGATGAGATATCTGTCCTTTCTTGCAATCAAAATGGAGCCATTCCAGAAAAACTAAATAAATAAGCTATGCGCATTTTACAATTCAATAAAGAAAAGTGATCTGTTGCTATTTGATTTCTGAAAACTTTTCAAAAGTGAAGAGAAGAATGGTCTATCCTATGTACCTTTCATGTTCAGCAAGTTGTGTTTCATGTTTGTCACTATTTTTTCTATCTGACATGGAGCTGTACATACACTGGCCAAATTCAAAATTTGAAGCGAGAAATCATTCCGGTTCAATGTTTCAATTTCTATAGATGCTGATGTTGTGTTTCCGTAGGAAAAAAGTTATTGAGAAAAAAACAAGTCCATCTTTACCTAGGGCATGATAAAGTGCAGCATCATGAATGTTCAAATTAATATTAATAACTATCCTTTTACAGCACTGACTTTCTCAACTGAAGAAGCATCAGATGAAGTATAGCTAAGTCAACAACCACACTGACATCAAGGAGCAAGTAATACGTGTTTAACATGTGAAAGGAATTTAATATTTGTTGCATGACCAGAATCAGAAATTTAACTAACCTGAACATGGCCAGAGCCATCAACAGCATTTGCTTTAGGAGATTCTCCCACTTTTAGAGGAGGAATTTTGTCATCTAAAATGTCTTTTAGTGGACGTATTGCGGGCTCTTTGGAAATATCTCTGCTCTTTTGTGAAATTGGTGAGCTGCTTCTAGCCCTGGACTCTGTATCTGAGTATCTGTGAGTCAAAACTTTCCTTACAGATCCATATCCATTTTCCCGGAACCTATCATCAACTATTTCAAATCGAGGTGCCCGACTATTCTGACTTCCAGACTTCAGCATTTCTTGTTTGTATCGAGGGCTATTTCTTGGATCAATGTGATTTTTCAAATTTCTGCCATCGTTTCTACTTAGAAAAGAATGTTCAAATGAGTGCCGCTCAAAGAAATCATCTCTCCGAGCATCATCCGTATGAAAAAATTCTTCTCTAGCACCATGACGGGATGTTTCAAAAGAATGCCGCTCTTGGAGGTCCTCCTTTGCACTCTTTACCATATACAGAAGCATGTCAGTTGAGATCTACCTGGCCTAGGTTCATTTTGACAGAAACTCAATGCATTTGGTTGCCGATAAGACAAATAGGAGCAAATAACTACTACAAAGTACATATTCAGATCAGTTATATTTTAAACAGTGAGATTATTAAAACTGCTAAAGATAATAAAAGATGATTTAATGGCTGTATGATTATCCATTCAGAGAGACTTACCGCTTTAACCATTGAAAGCTTGTCATTACTCCTAACACCAGCATATTTTCTGTCTATGTAGACATGCTTGATGAAATCACGAAGTCTATGAAGATTACTGGAAACAAAAAGAATATCTCATCAGACAGAAAGAGTCCCTATGATGCCTCTATCCTAGTGTGGAAGCAAATAGATTTACCTCCCGTCAGGAAAATAATTTCTATGTGGATCCCATTCTTTAAGATAAATCTGCCTTGCTCGCTGTGACATTGTCCATTAGGTTAGTCATTATATAAAGTTCAGTTAATTTCGACTGAAGAAACAAAAGTAGGTTTAAACTGATATGCGAGCAGACCTCATTACCCCCTGCCTGAAGAGCATCTACTTCTTCTACAGAAAATTTAGCCATTGACACAGATTTTACTCGATGTGTGAATTCTCGACTGAAAGTTTTGAAGAAAAATCAGTCAGGCTGCGCTTTTCATATGACTGAATTTCAATACTATCATTAAATTAGCCTTTTCTTTTTTGTTGTTTACAACATTATTAACTTTATGCTGAATCTCTGAAAGTTCACCTAATGTCACAAATTCAAAAAATATCAGAATAGAACTGCAAAAGGCATAATTTTCACTTACTGTACACCACTGCAGTTTGTGCAAACGAATGTCAAGAAGGTTGTGCATACATATTGAGGCCCCTGCTTGATAGAAATTTGTATCATTACCAAGTTAAGATCAAACTGCTGCTATGAAGGAGCTCGAAAGCCCCTCTACCACAAAGAAAAGAAACAGAAGTACAGATATAGACTTCTGCAATCGACTCTCTTAGATTCTGTTAAAAAAGAAAGGATGCAGACTGAAAGTCTAGAACTAGATGCACACAACATCATAAAAGATAGTGGTTTTCTTCTTATCCGGTCATTACTTTTCGGGAAAAAGAACAATCCCGGCATTATTTCCTAAAATCCATTAGGATCTTGAAGAGTTATTTGAGTTTCTCTGCTTTGCCTTTGATTATTTTGACCACAAAATAAGGTAGCAGTCAAAGATGGTTTAAAAATTCAATCTTCATAGCGGACATATTTTGTAAATATTTAAAACTTGTAACAGCCTAGGGAATTAACATATCTTTTGGCAAACATCTTAGAATCTTCACTACTAAATCAATAAGTACAAAGACCCTGAATAGACAAGCTTATTAGGGGAGAGAATCGAAGGCTTTACAGTTTACGTTTACTAAAATCCTAGTATCATCAGTTCATCATCAGAAAACAATGGATGAAGCCAGGGTGAGAGATTGCAAAAAGATTTAATACTTGAAGGGCTGTTTAAAATTTTTTTCCCCAGTAAAACCATTGCAATCATATTCAACAATTTGACACCGTCACTTTCATAATATACCTTCTTTGCAAGGTAATATTCCCTATTAACTTATAAAGCTTAAACCGTTAGCAGTTTTTCAGATCTTCATATCATAGGTAAAGATGACAATGATACAACAAGGTAAAAAAAAACTGCTTACCAAACTGTTGCAGTTGATACATCTCTTATTTTCTGGAAGCTTAAGAAGACCACGAATGATCTTCTCAATTCTCTCTTCTTCCTTTACTTTTCCTTTGGGCATCTTTTACCACTTCTGTTCCTCTTTTTTCTCTACAAAAATCATGACAAAAAAAACAAATCTTTTACACATTCTTGAACTCTATATTCTCAATCTCGAAATCTACAGCTAAGAGAAGTGTTCAGCAACATCATATGAGCATATCCCATGTCTTGCAATAATAGGAAAAACCTGACAAGCGGAAAATTAATGAGCTTCTTGTCCGTTGATCCGTGACTCTAATTATCAAATCCCTAGTCAAACATAATTACCTGTTTTTTTTTTTTTTTCTCTTTTGCTAAGTCTTTTCGCATACCATTTTGAGCTTCTTGTGTTTGTGGTGTTCTGAGATTAACCGACACCCTTTCTTGATGGGATGAATCTACAATGGAAGGTTATTTTCTTCAAGAATTTGGGCAAATAACGAATGGCTTTTCCCCCCTGGTTGTGGGACTTTGCTCAGCTGGTGTGTGCCTCTGAAAGAGGGAGAGGAGAAGCGGGAGTCAGGAGAGGTGAGGAGGGAATTTTGGCGGTTTAGACGGTTTAGTGACCGTTGCTTTTTCTTGTTTTTCTGTATTTCTTACGTAAACACAACAATAGACAGATTTTATTTATTTATTTATATTTTGAAGATAAGCAATATACAGTTTTTTTTTTAATGAAGAATCAACATCTATAATCAAGATGAGGTAAATGGTTCAATGTAGGATAAATATAACTTATCTTCTTTTTCAAAAGAAAAAGAAAATGAAGGATTATGGAAAGTACAATGAGATAACAGTAATCAAACTCTTGCTCAAATGTAAGGAACAAAACTTATGAGAGATTTTTTGTTTCATGAATTGCATATGGAAGGAGTGTATTATTTGTACAAATTTATTTGTTTGCATCATAAATACATTTGGAAGAACTGCACAAATAGTCCCTCACATATTGCAAATGTAAAAATTTAGTCCCTCAAATCAAAATGATCACTTTTAGTCCTTAGAAAATAAAAAATAATCAATTTAAATCCCTTTTCACTTTTCCAAACGATTTTGCCCGGAATATCTCACGTGCAAATCACGTGCCCAACTTTTAAAGGGTAAAAATGCCAAACCACTTGTCTGTTGATCAAAATGTAAGAGACAAATGGTTTCCAAAATTCTTCTTCCCTTTCATTTCAACCAAACCCAAAATCTAAGCTTCATCTCCATGGCAGAACCACCAACTTGTAAATGCGGTGTACCAGCGAGGGTGAAGATGTCGTGGACAGCTGAAAATCCAAGAAAAAGGTTCTATGGTTGCATTTACTACGAAGTAAGTGTGCCTGATTTCTATTACTTTTTTATTTCAGAAAATGTGAACTTTGAAGAGGTAATTTTGAACAGCATAATAGTGGTGGTGGTTGTGGCTATTTCAAGTGGTATGATACAAACAGTTGCGAGAGGTGCGATAAATTAATGAGACACATAAGAAGTTTGACGAAGAGATTAAGGGAGTTGGAGGCAAAAGTGGAAGAAACAAAACGCAAAGAGAAAATGATGAAATTGTTGTTGTTTGTGGCCTTTGTATTCGCAGTGCAAAAATTGTTGTGCAAAGATTGAATTGTAACTGGCATTTGTTGGTGCAGCTGGTGAAATGGGAACTGGGTAGCTTTTATTTGCTGTATTTAGGTTGGGTTACGTTTAGTGGCCCTGTTGATTGTACAAATGGGAGTTGGAATGTAATTATAAAACTGATACGAACGGCACCAACCTTGTGATGTAATCCGTACATACAGGGTAAGATCTAGAAGGTAGGGACTCACGTTGATGATGAACGAACGCAGCGGATCACCTAAACCCGTTGATCACACGGTCAACGAACCTCGGTATTCGGTAGAAGACGCCACAATCTAACGTGGTCCTAGATTGATAAGTCGATTGAATACCTAAGAAATGAATCTAAGATATTCAAGGTGCTTCAATGAAGTTTTGAAAGAACTCTCAAGTGTAATTTTTTATTAATCATCAAAAACTCTATGAAGGTCTCTTGCCTTGGCTATATATAGCCATACAACTTGAAAACCTAAAGTGATTTGAAAACCCTAACTCGGCTAGGCTAGGCCTTTGGCCCGATTCCACTACTCAAATTCACTATCTAATTGTCAGCTTATAATCGATCCAATGAAGGCTTTAACTTGGCCCAACATAACCCAAATAAAAGCTAATTAACCAACTTAAGTAATAGTGAGCCTAGACTCTATAAATCGGATCCAACTCAACATGAGGTCTTGGACCGAATTTATTCCTAGCAAATAAAATAGAAATTTGGAAAATAAACTACTAACTATTACTAAAAGATTCAATTTCTTGCAGCCCAAAACATGGCCCATAAGCGGCCCATATTTCGTATCAGTCCCCTCCTCTTGAAAAAAGATTTGTGCTCAAATCGTGTTTGGAAATGAACGGTACTACAAGAGTTGGCAGTATGAAACCTCAAATCTCCACATATTGGCTCTCTTAGAATGAATGATACTTGCATACGTCATGATTATTGTAATTTGATGCACATGTCTCTTGGTCAGCTTGGAAATGCTCACAATCCGCCATGGGAAACTCAAGACTTTACTCCAACCACTCCAAAGCTCTCTAATCAGCCTTATGTCATAAATGGTCGAATTTGGACCTACATAATAAATCACACGATTAGCATTTGTAGGTATAAAATCACTTGACAGCTTACCATTCACATTCACAAGATAAGGATCTTCATAGTGATACTTAATCAGGTTAGAAAAGTCTCGGACATGATTGTGCAAAGTTACAAAATTCATTGCAAGTTGTTGTTGGAATGGCCTATCTTGCACAAATGGAGCAAAATCGAGATAGGCAGCTTTTGAACCCTCAAATTGAAGAATAAAACCAAGTTGTAAGGAATCAGAATTTGGACCAATGAGGAAAGAATTATCACCAACAAAATAAGAAGGACGTTTATAACAAGTTTCAAGTGTAGAAACTCCCTTTGAAACTTTATTATTCCTCCCAACAAGCAAATCAGGCTCATGGTTGATGTTGAACATCAATGGATGACAAAGAGATACAACACTTAAGGTGTAAACTCCATGAAAAGTTTGATATTCACCAATGGATTTAGGCATAGAACATGCCAAGATCAACTCAATTTTTCCTTGCTTAACCTGCATAAAAGTAGAAACACTAAACAAAGTAGAGTTAAGATCGTTAGAAAAAACATATGATCTCACATCCTTTCTCACAATCAGCTTACTCTTAGAATTTTTAATTTCTTTCTCATGCTCAATAGTTGACTTTTTTCCCTCATTATTCTCAATCTCTTTCTCCTTTTCAACTCTCTCGAATTTTACCTCTTTAGTCACAATTCCCTCATCTAGCTCTTTCTTCATACTATAACGCTCATGCTCACTCTTCATGTATGTTAGATCAATACAAAGTTGCTTAGAATTAAGCGACACAAGCCTGGTGCGACGGCAATTAAATGTGAAGGAATACTTATTAGTATATCCATCATATTTGACTTCTCGATTAAACATCCACCATTGTCCCAACAGCACATGCGTCACTTGAATGGGAACTACATCACACAACACCTCATCCACGTATTGGCCAATACGGAAAGGAACAAGTGTGTGCTTAGTAATCCAAATATCACCACTATCACTTTGCAACTTGTAAGGTCGAAGATGATCAATGGTTGGAAGATTCAATTTCTCAACCAAGACAGTACTTGCGAGGTTAACTTCACAACCCTTATCAATGACTAAGCTGCAAACTTTATCCTTGATGTGGCAACGTGTATAAAACCAATCATTTTTTTGAGTTTCGATGATTTCCAATTGCTCAGTTATCTCACGCAATGCCACAGTATTTACTCCTTTAGGCACAAGATGGCGAAGCTCCAGTTGAGCATTCGTTTGTCTCATACTTTTATTACCTATAAAACTCAACAAACATTAGTAGAACAGTCCTCACTCGCTCCCTTACATGTTTCGCTCACTCTCGTGTATCACTCAAGTGTTTAAAATACTCTAATGTTCTCACCAATGCTCTCACCAATGCTCTCAAAACCTCTTGAGAGCTTACCTTGAAGAAAGTAGAATTTCTACCAGGCAAACAATCAACTTCCAATTTTGGATCACGAGAATGTGGCACTCCTTAGTGGAATGGAGAAGACTCAATGGATGGAACCAATAGGGATGATTGATTCGAGGGACAAAATGAAATGGAATGACACGACTCAAATGAAAGGAACAAAAGAGGACTAAGACACTGATAGAAATGAAGAAAAGAAGACACGATGCAAAAAGAGGAAAATACTCTTTTTTTTTTTTTTTTAGAAACGCAAGCTATCTTGCTTGTTTAGTAGGTCCGAATGTGCAACTAAGGGAAAGAATTGGTGGCAATTAACTCCCTATAATGTAGGAAGAGTGGCCGAATGGAAAAGGGTAAGAAAAAGGTTAAGGCAATCCCTAAAAAGTAGGAATAAATAGTGGCTAAAATGTAGGAGAAAGAAATCCCTAAAAGTAGGGTAAGGGTGGCGGTTTGGGAGTGTAAGAAGGATGGCTAAGAAAACCCTAAAAAAACTAGGTGAGAGGGGCGGTTACAAGGTAGGAAGAGGGAAGAAAATGTAGGAGAAAACTTAGGTAATTGATTTTTGGAAGCTTTCATGATTAGGAAACCTCAAGGTTAGGAAACCAATTTGGTTTTGGAAAACCAATCAAAGGTCACGGCTGCCCTAGGTTATTAATACCCCAAGGCCGTGACTTTTATCCCCCACAAGACAACAATCAAGTGCGGCAAAAACTGATCTCAAGCACTTGACAATTCGGCTCCCTCAAACAAGAACAACTAGCGATGGAAAATCAAGGTGATTTGACTAACCCTTCTTAGGCTCCCCCCCAACAGGTTACCCAAAATGTTCCCAAGAAGTTTACTCCAAAACCAACCCTTCACCACGGCTTGGAAGTACAAGAAACTTTTCAAAAGACGAGTGAGACAAATTCCCAAGACCCAAAGTGTTCAAGAATTCCAAGAAGTAGTA